TTCTACAAAATATAACACTTGGCATGGTATAGATTTATGAGGATGTTAAATCAGCCTGCAGCATATCCAGTACACCCAGACTTTTATGAAGTCGAAAACCCTAATGGAACATATGAAAATATTTTCGACCAAGATGCTATTATTGTTCTGCTTCATTTTTCTGGCGCCCAAAACTCTTTTTTTGCTTGCAAATGACTTTTACGAAAAACCTACAAAGTTATATGAACCGCCGAGTGGAAGTATTTCAGACTTTCAAGTATGGTTTACTACAGATGGAAGAAAAAAGAATAATTCCATTATACCATGCGTTTTACTTAGAACTTAGTTTCATATACAACTACTATCGAACGGTAAAAATATAATTTTTTAATACGGTTGAGGTGTTGGATTTGGTTGCCAACTAGACTGTGGTGCAGGTTCAGGCTGTTGTATAACAGGAGCTTGTTCTTCTGGTTCAGGGTCTTTAGGTATAATACCAACGAACTGACCTACTCTTTTACCAATATTTTTGACACCGTTCCATACTCCTCTTCCGACAGATTTTATTCCATTCCATATACCTCTTCCAACATTTCGAAAGAAGTTTCCTATCTTACTGAAGAAACCCATTTTACTATATGTAAAAATCTAATGTCCGCCTAGTCTCTTACGTTTCCTGTTGAGTTCCATAGCATTCTTTAACTGGAGCTCATACATTCTGTTTCTCCTCTGGTAGAAAACATATTCTGGGTCAACTCCTGTGTTCGCGTCATCTGCATAAAGTTGTTTATATCCCACTTCAGGGTTTGTATAAAACTCTTTCCATCTCATATTTGCATACCATGGTGGCAAACCTAACGCAGCGTCGTTTGACATGGCAGTTTGCATTTGTACATCTGTTGGCACTTGACCATAGTTTGCCATTGCAGTTTGTATTCTAACTTCATTTGGAATATTCTCTGGGTTTGGTTGTCCAGGTTGCTGTGCATTCGCTAAGTTCTGTGCGTCCATTTAATATTAGATAAAAATATCTCTTACGAGTACATATACTGAACATTTGCAGGCATTGGTTCATCTTCATATTCTCTGTACTTTTCTGCCACGTCAAATAAATAAATGACACAATGGAAAAAACCTAAAACAAGTAGTCCTATTTCAAACCACATTTACTTACTAATAAAATTTCTTTATTGTGACACTTTCTCCGGTTTATAGGACCTCTCTCATATTCTATCTTGTCATATATAAACTCATAGTCATGTATGTCCTCTAACCATCTCATAACGGTTTCCAAACCACTTTTATCGGATGTAAAGTAAAAGCATGGATGGTTATGTATAACGTCTAAAGTTTCTAAAGAGTCTCTCAAAGTCCAGTCTACTTGGTATTGAAAATCCCATGTGTTATAGAACGGCGGGTCCACTATAAAGAAAACATTTTCCTTGTCTTTATATTTTTCATACAACTCTGTCCAATGACATCTCACAAACTCTATACCCTCAATATATTTTTCTATGTCCTCTTTGAAAACATTTGTATAGTTAAGATATAAAACTTTTGACATAAGTGTTTCAATGTCATGAACTCTTATAGAACCACTATATAATAGTCTAGCAGATATACTATCCCAGTCTATATATTCTGCTTTTTTCAAAACCTCTCTCACAATATTTTTGTTATCTAATGGTATACGTTCCATCTTACCTATAGGTATCTTTTCTTTTAACTCTTTCAATATATTGTTTGTGTCTGGAATATGTTTGAGACGGTCCATATAGTTGTCGAAGTCATTGCATATAATCTTTGAGTCAGGAAATACGGTATGACATAAATGGGATATATAGAAACTTCCACCGAACAAATCTACAAATGTTAGACCATTCGGTAGTTTCTTAAGTTCTCTCAATATAATATCTTTACATCTACTCTTATTTCCAAAGAACGGTAACGGCGGTTTTGTAAAATTCATTTATATATAATAATAAAAATGTTTTTACCCGAAAAGTAACAGAAAAGTGACAAAGCATGAAAACATATATAATTTGTGAAAAGTGAAACAAAAAGTGACATTTTTAAAAGTGACACCATTAATATGATGTAAATAACAACGGTTTTGGTTTTGTCACCGGTTGGTCGGCTGGGGTTCGGTCCTCCTCTTGGGTCTTGGGCAAAATTCTTAGGGCTAGAAGGGGCGCAGCCCCTGGAAGCCCTCCGAATAAAAACTTCATTTATACTAAACATCTTCAGGGCTAGAGGGCGCAACGCGCCTGGAAGCCCTCCGAATAAAAACTTCATTTATACTAAACATCTTCGGGGCTAGAGGGCGCAACGCGCCTGGAAGCCCCACTACCTTTTTTTTTTTTTTTTTTTTAGTCTTAGTATTAAAAGTCGGATATTCGGAGTAAACAATAGGAAAATTATCGTTTTGCATTTCTTTACATTGTTCACTCGAATTGATTACTGTATTCAATGAAAAATATTAAATATCAAACATTTACTAGTCAAAACAAAACGCTCGTAATACATCCTTCCTACTCAATTAGAATGGAGCTTGTGTTCAGTGGTGTCTTCTTATTCTCATTGATCGGTAAAAGATCAGCTGAGGGAGAATGGATGATAATATCTGTACTAGATTTGTATATCGTGATTTTCTTCTCGAGTTTGAGTGAATGCGAGGAATCAGTTACATGTGAGGAGCGTCTAAGCTTGAGAGAGTTGCTTCTTCTATTTGTAAGCTTACTTGATCCCAATCTTCTTAAACATAATGGGATGGTTTCTTCAACTTGGACCCACTTAAATTCAGAAAAATTCTTCTGAAAGTGCGGCAATGGCTTATATATCACTGGTTTAAGTTCTGAACTAGTAATCAAGATAGCACCACTTGCATTTGGAGGATATGGTGAATAATAGCTCGATGAAAAAACAGTTATAACTCTTCCACCAAAATGCTCTTCAACTCCCGTAGTGATGCATTGGTGCGCTCTTATGATTCCATAAAGTTTATTAATCGTTAAAAATTTGAATGTGGCTTCAACTCCAAAATTAACCCCGAATCCTCTTGGATTTGGACTGTAATAGTAACTCGCATGTGAAGGATCACTCCACAATAGATCACAAACAAGTTCATGGCTGTCTCCTTCTGTAAAAGATGTAATCGGTCGCTTCAAATTTTTAATTTGATCCAATGTTTGTAGTTTTGGACTAATACCTCCATGGACTAAGAAGTACTTGTTATTGACAACTGCAGCAATTGGCAAATATGCGAATACTTTATTGAAAAAATCAAATATTTCTTCATCATATTGCTGGATGACTTGAGTTTTGAATCCATAGTATTCATTGATTTGTTCGAACTCATGATTTCCGCGGATCATATAGATATTCTCTGGATAAGCGATTTTGTATGATAATAATAAAACGACAACTTCGACGGAAAGATCACCACGATCAACATAATCGCCCATAAAGATATACCTTTGGTTCGCAGGTGTTCCAAGATCATTAAAAATCCTTAATAAATCTCTTAAATTTCCATGGATATCTCCAACTACAATAAAATCACCTGAGAGATAGAGTAAAGATGGTTCTTCGTTGAATATCTGGGGTATTATTATTGTCGTCTGGCGGTTTTAGACGACAATGCGAATTTTCAAATATTAGGATTTTTAGCCAGATAAAGAGCTACTCCATATATCATGCGTGTTTGCATACTATATACATAGATGGAATTGATGTTCTGCCTTTATTTAGGTACCGAAACATGCTTGAAAAATCTATTTTTTAGACGACAATGATAATTTTGTCACTTTTCCAGACGACAATAATAATTTGTCACCTTTTTAGACGACAATAATAATTTTGTCACTTTTTCCAGACGACAATAAAACATCCTCTTTAAATTTGAAACTCCGAAATTTTTCTTGAAAAAATTGTGAGTTATCTCAATTCGAAAGTTGTTGAAAATGGTTTCTATATAATCAAAGACTATTTTCCACACAAACAAATTCTCAATATTATTCTGAAATTTGATAATAATCTGATTTATTTATGTCGAGCATAAATTTTTATATAAAACGATTCTTTATGATGAGTATAATCCAACGTATATTAAATACGATTATGGAGAAATTACCGGTTTTAAATAAAAATCGATGAAAGTACTCTGTTCAGCATAGCTCCAATAAGAAAAATGAGTAGGGGCGTAAATTATATTTGAGAATGACATAATACAAAGAATGCCCGTGATTTTACAACCTTTGAATGATTGAATGAATTGGCATCTATTCTCACTAAAACTAGTGACAAACTCAACCCAGTATTAGTGTATGATAATAATCCTCTTTATTTGAGTATTTTCCCACATTTGTAAAAATTTTTCATGGGTTTATCAATAGTTTTTTGTTTATACATGTAATCGCTAAGTAAATTCAATGTGATAGTGTGATATATTTAGGATATCCTTGATCCAATTCATCAATCTACAATCAACTCATTCGGAAAAAGGCCATTAAGTTATATAATTGAGTGAAATGCTTTTATTGCATGTGTCAATCCATTATCATTCATATATGTATATGATTTACACTTCAAACTATGCCTGAAATTTCAGAGCAATGAAATTTTCAATCAAATGAATTAAATTATATAATTCAATGGTTTGTTTTCAGAATGTTGAATCATATTGTGAAGATTTGTTCTAAATTTCTATAATTTCGAATTCAAAAATTATCATAACAATTTGTCAGCAATTAAAAGTTATGCAATGAAATTGCCAATGGGAAACATAGCAAATCGTTTAAGAATTAAAGTTGTATATATATGAAATATGTAAATCAGAAATTAAAACATATTTTAATACGAAATTCTGTGTTTTATGATTCTTGCTTCATAAAGGGCTTTGAATTATGGTGATAGAGTTTGTAATTGATTGATCTAATTTTAAGAAAATTTCAAATTATCTTTGAGATTTCATTTTTTTTAAGGCAAGATGTTAAACTAAGTGTTTATTAAAATTATTGGTTTTATACTACTCGATCGTTATTGAGATTGTCTAAAACAACTGTACTATGTGTCTCCTCGGATTTCTTTCTAAAGTAAGCGAAATAAACTACAATGCATATAATCACAACGACAGCAACACCAATCATGACATATCCAACAATCTTTCCTGCCTTCTTTGCCTTATTTTTACTTATCTCTTTATTCAAATCATCATAGTTTAAGGACCATTCAGGAGGAGTTTGTGGATCTCCTTCAAGAACTTTTGATTTTTCATCCATTGGATCTTTGTTGAAATTCATGGAATCAAGCTTTATTGTTCGGCAAAATCTTTCTGGATCTGGGCAATAGTTCACTTTCAATACACGATGAGATTTACCACTTATGAATTTCACAGGATATGAAAAAGATTCGTTGATATTATTTTTAGTGCATTGATATGTAACTTCTTTGTTATCAGCATCAACAGTATGGAACTCAAAACTTTCATATCCATTGCATTTATAAGTTCCACAAAGATTTTCGAAATGATCTTCTGTGTACTCTGTTTCAGGCATATCCATTAAATGACCTGGAAGAACAGCTTTATTGTTTTCACAATAATATTCCTGATCATTATATTTTTGATAATCTGAAATAATATCAGCTGAAACGAATTTTTCTCTATTGGGATTATAGAATTGGTTATCTTTGTCATTACAATATTTTTCAAATTCTAGATATTTACATACATCTTCGGATACATTAAATATTGGAAGTTTGTTTGAAATCGATTTATAATTAAATCCAACAGTGTTGTAACTTGATTGCAAATAACCTTCTGGGAATTTCTTTTGTGGTGGATCTATTGCAAATCCTTCAATTGTTTTGCCGTTAATTGATTCAGGATGTCCGAAAACTAATGGTTTTGTATTTGCCCAGTTAATTTTATAATTACCTGTATCCATTAAAACAGCCATTGTTGCATCACTAAACTTTTGAAATGGCGCATCAACATTAGGAACAGATCCAACCATATATTCAGTATAATAAGTTCATTTTCAAGATGTGATCCTGCTGTGGTTTGTCCGCCTTGATCTTCTAATTCGATACCTGCAGGGCATGACTTATTCTTATCTCCATAGAATTTGTCAACACCGAATCTCTTCTTTGCATAAAGATGGGCATAAGGAGTAACTAAGAAATTGTATTTTTTGTTATACTTTGTTAATTGACAAGTACTGGTTATATATAATTTATCTTCTTGTTCATAAGGATGGAAACTCCAATACGCTGAGGAAAGGAAACCAATAGCATGTGTCAACTCATGAAGGACAGTGTAAAAGAATTTGCTTTCGAAATCTGTGTAATCACATGGTTTTTCAGGAACAAATCTTGGATTAAAGTACATTGCTCCAATATATGGTCTATATGATGGTTTAATGAATACTCTTGGTGCTGCTGCAGCTATTATTGAATTTGTTGAATCTAAAGCAATTGATGTAGCAACAATTCCTAAATCTGCATCATTAAAAACAATTTCATCAAAATCTCCGTAATCTTCTAAATTAGAAACTTTAATAGGAAAACGTAATGATTTAACTTTGATAGTATTTTGTAAGAACTTTATTACATTGTCTATTGTTTGTTTAAGGGCGTTTCTTTGGGCATCTGTCAATACATTTTCTTTTTCACAACGGAATCCTGAATCTAAAACTTGACCAACGCGATCACATCGCAGTGGATATTCCTTCTTTCCATCCATGAAATCATAACTAAACTTAATTCGAATTGGTCTCCATTTATCTGAAACATCGAAAGTTTCCGAATCTCCTAGTGACTCTCTTCGTGGACCATCTGAAATATTAAGTTTTTTAAAGAGAAGGTCATGCTGGCAAACGAAGTTGAAATGGCAAATTAATGCAGAAAGCATTAAATTTTTATGTTGAAAAATCGGATATAAACCGTTTTCTCAGAAAACTGGAAATTATATGAAAAAATACTTTATTTGACTCTTTCGGATATATTTTTAAAAAATCGGATATGAATTCAATATGTCAGATTTAAGAAATTCGCTAAAATTATTATGGACTTCTGCTTAGCTAATTGGATACATCATCATTATGGATGACTATTAGAAAAGTAAAATAATCGTTTCATATGTTAATCATGTCATTTAACTAAACACACGATAATTTCTAAAACAATTGTGGAGTTTTTAAAATAAAACATTTCAGAGGAGATTTGAGAAAAAAACGTGACAAGAGAAATTTTTTACATCAAACAAAAAAAAAGTTTTTATATTCGTTTATAGAACAAAATATAAGGATTAGAAGACTTTGTATTTGATGAAGCCTTATAAACAGCCTCATCATTATACGTATACCAATTTTCATCGGTAGAATCAAAGATATTTGCTGTATAATGGCCTCCATTTAGAGTTCCTATATGATTAATATAGGCGTAAAGCCTATATTTCTGTTCTTTATCCTTTTGAGGTCCGACTAAATAAGGAGACATGTCGATTTCTGTTGGAAAATCAACAACAACGTTTAATTTTTTATATTCTCCGTTTTCTTGTGTAAATCTCTGCAGTTGCATAATGAGAACATCAGCAACAGACCATATTGTAGCATTTGCAACCGCATTTACGAACTTTTTGCAGTGAGGACAAAACCATTTGTTGAAATTCTCGAGTTTTTGAGGAAATGACATTTGTTTTATACATTCTTCAAGCCCGTAATCTGTTTGGTTACATGGAAAAGAGCCATCATAACCGTAATCGAGTGGGCATAAAGATCCCCAGTTAAATCCTAATGATTCTTTAGTAAATTCGGGATTTAATATGACTTTGATACTTTGGTTGCTTATATCTCCGTATTCATCGTTTTCTTCATCAAAATTCGAATTAAAATTCAATTTTATCGAAAATTTCTGGTTTTTGAAAATCTATTTCTGATGAATGTGTCAATGATTGCTCGAAAGCTCTCATTTTGTCCGTTGTCGGATACTTAGATTTCTCATAAAAATAAATTAATTTTTTCTTCAACGATTTCTTCAAGTTTTTTGGACTTTGAAGGTGATTCTATAAGTATTGGACCATCAAGGACCTCGAATTGTCCACGAACTTTTGATTTTGGAACGACAATATTCATTAAAACTTGCATTGAGCAACGTTCAAGAACGTTCAATTGCATAAAAATCAATCTTTTTGACGGTTTTAGATGCAGTTATTTTGAATTCCGATGACAGAAAATCTCTTGGAAAGATATATAAATCTTCTGCTTTAAATCTCGTTTGTGCGTCATCAAAAATGTCATCTATTTCTTAATCTTCACTTACTAATATCTTTACAATGTATCTTGGCCGCTTAAGATCAGCGGGAATGTACATATATCTGATTGTTTCGAGATTTGTCTTCGAAATCGGGATAGAAAGTGAAGAATAAGCATCAAAAACAACTTTCTTGTTTCCGCATTCATCGCATTTCACTTCTGTTCGTAATTGTCCATGAAATATATCAACAATAGCAGAATCAAACAGAAGTTTATGCCTTTTCCATGCCAAATCTGCTGTTTCATTATCATTCGTGCCATCACCAACAACTCCTTCGATGTAGCACCTTTTTGTAACTCGATTTAAATCTCCACTCAAATCTGACAATAAACAAAGCAAAAATTCCTGCGAATCCTGTTGTTGGCTGTTATTAAATTGTGGATGGAATTTTCCTATCGAGTTTTTCAAGTCATACGGGGAAATAACTTTTTGTTTCTTTGTCCAGATGTCATTTATCAATTGCGCGAACTGATGAGCAACGATTCCACCTGTTCCTTTCGGATTCTGCTCATTTAACTCTCTCCGCCATAATCCGGACTCGAAATACTGAAATAATAATTCTGTGTGCGCTAAAACTTGAAGAGAAGAGTTGATATAGCATGTATTACCTATATTATCTAATCCTACGTGTCCTAATGTTTGTGGTGTTGCTATAATTGGCGTAATTCCAGATGACATCGAAGAATTCGTTCTGGAAATGGTAAATTTGCCTCTAGATGATGTATTTCTATTGTCTGTTTTAAGTTTTAATAGTATTTCTTGCGTATTAATGATATAACATTGTTCTAAGTAAAAATCATCTCGAAATATGGATAAAACGTTCTTATTCCAGTAATCTACGAGATATGTGGCATCAGGATTGATTCCAAAGTGTTCGCATGCTCGTTTTTTAATATCTCGGACGTATTCGTATCGATTTGTTAAAATTTCGAATTCTTGGTCTGAAAAAATGATTTTAAGGTGCCATTTTATGATTAACGGTACTGGTGTATTTGTAGCGGGGTTATTGATCATTTCTACAGTAATTTCTGGCCCGCCACCGTACCAATCAAAAAATAATTTATAAACAGCTTCAGGAATGCAAATATAATCGTAATTATCCATGATTGTTATTTTTATTTGATCTTTATCGAGTAAATGGTTATTATCTATTTCACCAAGTTTAATTTCAGGATCAATTTCTTCATTTTCAAATCCTGTGACTTTCTTCCATTTTGAAAACCATCTAAATGATAGTAAATAACCCTTATCGCCAACTTTGAGTTCATTTTGCTCAAGAGCTTTTGCTATTTCCAATTTTTGTTTCTCATTCGTTGGCGCCATATATTTCTGACTCAATTTTGTATCGTTTTTAAATCATATCATTTAAACATACAAAATAGAATAAAATTTTAAAAATTAGAAATGAACTTTTCACTTCACTTTTCTTTTTATTATCAATATAAACTGTCAAAATTATTAAGGAATTGAAGGAAAAAAATGTTTTTTGTAAACTGTCAAATTTTCAAAATTAAACGTCAAAAATAATTTTTTTATAGTTTGATGAATAAAGAAGAATCTTTGAGACAGTTAGAGAATTGGAAGCAAAATATAACTAAATCTCTGGAAACTGTTCAAAGCGATTATGATAAATATGTAAAATTATTAAAGACATGCGTTGAAAAAGAAAGATTTCAATCAATTATTGAAGATCTCGAACAGTACACATATATTGCAATATGCAGAAACGGATATACTCAATTACTCGAAGTGATTAACGAGTTTATCGAGAATTTCGAATCAATTTTTAATAATATTCATGATGAAATTTTACAAGTCAAGCTTGAACATCTTCGTGGCATTGTTAATTTAATTAATGAAGGCAAGCTTGGCAAGAATAGACTCGAATTGTCTATTTTGGACGACGTACAACCTGATGAACCAGGTCATTTCGAAAACATCATATTTGGAGATAGCCAGCCAAGTCCACGCGACGTAGTTATGAATACAAATGAAATTGCTTTCGCAATTGGCGACCATTCTCAGCTACTTTTAGCTCAATTAAGTAAAATTGTAAAATATGAAATGATTATTCACAAATCAACGGTCAAAAGTCAAACAGATTACATTCCCGACGACAAATATCCACAGCGTCCTGACAGAAACCCTTCAATTTTTATTCATTTCGATTATCAAAAAGAAAATGAGAAATCTATACCGATATTACTACCAAAAACCATGAAATCATTACTCAACCAGATAAAATTCCACCATAGATACGATTGGAAAGTCTCCAAACTCATAAATGATTCAAATGAAGAGATTACAAATATAAAAAATATATGCCCTGGAATGACAATCACCGTTATTTGCGAAAAGCCTTTATCTACGAAACCAATAGTTGTCCAAACACCTGATGATAAAGGCCAATTGACGCCAACTAAAATTTTCAACCCATCTCCTGAAATTTATCGTTATTACCACGACGAATTGCTTCCAAAACAAAAGGCAGAACGATTATTACAGGGAAATTCAGAAATTCAAGAGCAAAATCAAGAAAATGAAACAAATTCACCGATGAAACTCAGCAAAACACAAAGAAACTATCAAAAAGAGAATGATATCATATATCCATACGCTATGACCAGATTAATTTACCAATCTACCTTAAATCAAGGAAAAAAGAAAGATATGAACTCAACAATGGCTCCTAGACGACTTCCTCGCTTCTTTCCAGGTATAATTCCTTCATTGGAGATGTATTCTCCTAAAAAGAAAGAAGAAATTCGCGAAATTAAACCAAAAACTCCGAAAATTCAAGACGAAGAAGTAAAAGCGAGCCCTACAAAGCTTGCCGCCTTGAAGATGGTCCGACCTATTGTCACAATCAGTGATAAAAAGATAGAACACATTGTAACTTCGACGGATTCAGCGAATATCAAGGATTCTATATCGGCAACAGTATTCAATAACCTTGTTAAAAATTCCATCTTCGGAGATCAGGCACAGTTAAGCAATGGATCTGAGGTTTTCGAAGAAGAAAAAGAAAATCAAAATCAAATTAAGGTTGAAAACGACCAAAACGACAAATCTAATGATGAACTGATAGACGAACAGAAGCATGAAGAAGTCCAACCCTCAAATAGCCCTGAAAACGAAATTTTGAAAGAAAATGAAAAAATGCCAAATCCTGAAAACGAAGCGGAATCGAATAATAATGATGAAAATGATTCCCCTACAATGCAGCCATTAACACCGACGAAACAGATAAAGCATAAAAAGCTTGATTCTAAACGTCCTAAATATGTATCAACAAGTCATGAAGATTTTAAGTATCTTGATATACCGACATCTCCTGATCCTACAAAGTGCTTGTTATCACCAACTGTTTATGATTTACCATCTGAAAACGAAATATTGGATGAAGGAATGGAAGAAGAAGATATTCCTGAACCAGAAGAAGAAAATATGGAGCCATTAGAAGAGCTCCATGAGTTTGATGAAGAAGAAGATGGTTATGCTGAAGATGAAATGGAATTATAAGTTTTTTTTACTCTTGGTTTACTTTTTTTATATACTAGAGTCAAAATCTCGAGCACAAAAGTGACATTGAATACTTGTAAGTATTGAATTCCCATGTAAACTATTCATTTCTATCGTTTTTTGTAGTCCACATTTCCTCACTCTCGATTTTACTCATAAAAATATTAAAAAATCACTATACAATATATAAAATATATATTTATATGGTTAAAACAATGTTATTTTTGCGAGATTTCATCTGAAATTAAAATTAGGGATTTTTTGAATTTTGAACTAAAATTTGTGATTGGCAAATATTGAATAATCGATTGGAATATGAAAGAAATACTTTAAAATTGAATAGAATGTGCCGATAGAATTTTTCTCACAATTTTAAAAAGTTGTTCAAATCCTATTTTTGATTGAGTTTTTGCAATTGTTATATATCAAGTGACAAGCTAAAAATAAAATTTTTGTTGCACTACTATTTTTGCAACAATTTGTAAATTACGTGCATCCCTTGTATTCCAGTGATCAACATCGAGATTACATATTGTAAGAAATCCTTTTGAAGTAGATCTCTATTTGAATTCAAATTCGGACAGTCTATTTCATGTTGCTTCGTGAGAATGTATATAATTTGCAATGTGAATATTATATAATTGATTCTGTATAAATAAGTAATTATGCTTTAGGAAACTGCTCGGCATTGCATGAGATCTAATCTTATAATAATTTTTTAGATATGTTGAAATATGTAATATTTAGCTTCAATATCATTTATTATGGTGTGTCTTTGCTGTTTTTTTGATATTGGATATCAATGACTCTTCTGTGAACGAAAAAATCATATAAATCATTAAATTCTAAACGTAAGCGAAACTCATTCAATTTATTATTAGAATCAAATCTATTTTAAAATTGAGCTATTCGTTAAATCACAAAAGGATACTTTATATTTTTAGTCAAAATTTGTTGATAGGAGCTTATTGGCGCAATCTCATGTTCTTCCTGGAAGCAGCGCACAGACCAGTCAGAAGCGCTCCTTCCAGGACCAGAAAGACTAGAAGGGGGTCCTGACCTTGAGAAAGGACCCCCTTCCAGGTCTTTCTGGGACAATTCGGTTCGCATTGCGAGTGTCTGCTGCTTCTTTTGACCAAAGCAGCAGACACTCGCAATTATATGTTGCGGCAAGTGCATCTGTGGTGTCGGAATGCACTTGCCGCGAACTTCGAGCAATCTCCTGATCTTCCTGGAAGCAGCGCACAGACCAGTCAGAAGCGCTCCTTCCAGGACCAGAAAGACTAGAAGGGGGTCCTGACCTTGAGAAAGGACCCCCTTCCAGGTCTTTCTCCAAGGAACATTGTGCCATTGTGGGAGACATGCAGAGGCAATGTCTCCCAGAATGATACATTGCGACCAACACGAGTGAATGGGACACTCTATTCTTTCAATTTTCTCATTAATATTTTATCTTTTTTTATTAGATCAATAAATAAACTCTTTTAATGTTCACAATTACATAAATCCATATGAATCAATTCGCTATTTATTTAGTCTCTAATTTTAATAGCTTTTTTGAATCTTAGTAGTATATGTGGAAGGGTTTTGTGACTTTTTTTGTAAACGTAAGAATTCATACAATATCGAGCGATTTTGTATCATTTTTTTAACATATGAAGTAAAAAATGTATGATTCTTACGGTTTTTATTCTTACGGTTTTTGAATAAATCAAGATTTAAAAAATTTTCAAAATTGTAAGACATTTACACTCAGCCCATACATAATGAAATAAAAAATATATTTATTTATAAACCATTAAAAAAATTAACATGAATTTTAATGGTTTATTTTATCTTTTATAAAAGAAGCTATATATAGATGATGTCAGATATTCCGCGATTAATTAAACATTGTTTAAATCCTGAATGGGTTTAATAATCATCCGTGTAAAATTTTAGAACTTGGTAACGAAAAACTTCAGAAAAAATTAAACGAAAGACTATCAAAAGATAAAGTTGAAAGAGTAAATAAACTCGCTAAAGGTAATGGTAATGATGAAGAAGAATTTGATGAGTTCAACATAGAACTTTAAGAAACTAATAATTATTTGAATTTATGATATCAATTATTTGATTTATTCTTTCTTCGATCTCTTCTATTCTTTTTGTTAAAT